AAACCTCCCAACTGTTTGAGAGATGAAATGGGTGCATAAATCAATCTGGACTAGACTATTGTACTATGGGGAAGTACGATAATTTTTGGAAGCTGGCGGTGATTACATTGAAAAGTGCTTTTGCCCCCAAACAGTCGAAGTGCTATATGAACTGGAACTGTGGATGAAGCCAAATAATATCGCCTTACCTCAATTCATCCGCTTGCCCAGCCTAAGCATTCATGTACATTGAGTAATAAGATGCAAAGCAATTATTCTTGTTCTGCTACCAGACCAGCCATACAATGGTTTAATGCCACCATTGCAAGGGAAAGACCCTTTGAGAGTATGAATACAACCCCATCGGAGGGGTCACAAAGGTCAAAGCCAAAACATTTCTTCTACCAAAAACCAAAGAATGGATCCTGCAGAGCCTAACAGAGGTCATGGATATAAAACACCGACAGCAAGAGTGGACCTCGCCCATAGGGAAGCATGGGAACGAGAAGTGGCCAAACAACCCAAAGTGGATTATGAGCCCTTTATCAACCCAAACCCCAAACTGTACAAAATGGACTAAGGATGAGCCCTGAACTGATGGCGCCAGGCCATCCTAAGTGGAATGGACAATCCATGAGGAAGAATGATGGCAAAGGCAAACCCAAAAAAATCACTCAAGAAGGGACGGGTAGCACAAGATGCCAATAAATTGAAATTAAAGCCTGACAAGTCAAAAACGAATATGAAGTCAACTTGGAAACCCATAGCAAACAAACCTGAGTAGATTAGCAATTAAACAACTGAATTGACATGATCAAAAAGTTGACTAATTGGAACCTGACCAAAAAGGCCAGATACACCAAAAAATGAATGAAGGGGCAGGAATCGAATTGATGGATGAGGCGTAACCCACTGCGCTTCTTGTAAGGACCAGGGAGCACGCAGAGCTGGTAATAAAGCCATCACCATTGTCCATTTATAGGGAAATGGGGATGGCGACTAAATTCCATTTGCACAGAATGCCTGGTAATATAATCCCAAGTCCATCCAACTGACCCCAAAAGCCAAACAATACCCCACATCCATCCTCAGTGACACCGACCACTAACAATAAAATGTCTATCCACAACTCAATTCGCAACCCTGAAAATATTAATCCTCATATCTGTGGGTTGGGTAGCTGGAAATGAGGATTGCAACCACAAATGCTGGGGGATGATGAGAATACAAATGAGAAGGCAGAAGATACAACCTTCCAAACAATAATAATAAAGACATAATTTTAATATCAAAAAATCAAGCAGGTATCCAAAAGGAAATGGTGCTGAACTCAATTTGTGATGCGATGAACCACCCATGGTCCCACCAAATAGGCTTTCAAACCCTCTGGACAAATCATGCGGTAATCATCGCTTAATCCAAGAGCATAGACCTTGAATTTGGGGAGGAAACTCATGTCAGAAGGATCATGATAGTGACTTCTATGCATAGAGAAACTGGCAAGAGCCTTTGAGTGGTGGCAGTCTATGCTATTCCAAAACCCTACAAAAACCAAATATTTTGGGATTTTATATCAGAAGTATCAGCTGAAGTGAAAATGGTTATAGCAGGAGACCTGAATTGTTGGTTGAACGTGAGTCGGAATACATTCCTGACAAGTGAAAGTCCCAACTGAAAGGACAATTAGATGCTAGAATATCTAGTAAATTGCGGATGTGCACCAATTAATGAGGATGATGACAACCCAGGTAACCTAATGCAAAGGACATTTGACTCTGCTGGAGCCCCACAGGCTGTTTTGCACATGGATTATATTCTGGTGTCATCTGATCTCAAGCCGCTGACATCCAACAGCAAAGTCAATATAAATGCTGAAATTGACCACATGATTGTCTGCATGGATATTGATCTGGAAAACCCCTTGAGGAACTGCAAAATGGCAACTGGCACCAGCCACGCTGAGGTACAGGGAATGTTGCCAAACAATTGAAACTGGACTGGATCGTCTGGTCACATATCTGGAGAATCACCTGGATATAGACCCTCTGGAATGATGGACCCATATCAAAGAGAAGATGAAGCATGATAGCAATAAGTTTAAAAAGCAGCTACCTACAAGCGAACTGCTGCAACAAAACAGCTGAAAAATGCACTATAGAGGTTGAAGATCACTCGGCAGGTCAGAAAAGAATAATGGAGTGAATACTAAACAACGCACAAATGGTATCAGGCCTTAATGGCAAAACAGGATTCAGAGCAACAGATCTACGCAGCCTACCAATATCAGAGCTTAGTAGGGATGATGACCAAAGAGGGCCTGACACGCCTCAAGGAAATCTGAACCAATGCCAGGATACAGGAAGTAGAGATGGCGGAAGGGGAAGTAACAATGGACCCAGAGACAATCAAATGTGAGATCAAAAACTTCTATGGAAAGCTATTTCATCAATTAGAAACAAGCAAATTGGCGACAAATACCCTTATTGACCTGGCCAAGCTGGCTTTAGGGGCTGTATGCCGGAAGATGTTGCTAACTTATCCACTTAAATATCTATCAATAAAGTTAAGTGGGCGCTAAAAGAATCGCTGAGAATGAAGGCAACTGACCCAATAACTTCTGTGTGGAGGTGTACAGTACTTTCTGTGACCGCATCATGCCAAACATAAAGCCATATTTAATCTTTGTTTGTGAAATGGACAGCTTCTGGGAGGCCAGGAGACCCAAATTGTACTCTTGTACAAAAAGAGACTACAACGCCAATTATGGAACTGGAGATTAATCACACTATCCAACGCCAATTATAAGCTGTTCACATGCATATTATTAAATTGGCTGATGGCAATGGCACTGTACATTATCCATAAGGCCCACACAGGTTCATCAAGTGATGGAGTATTTGGGACAGCATTGGTGAAGTCCAAAAAGGACTCCAAGACACGTGGGAAACCATGTATAGATATCTCATGTACCTCAACATGGAAAAAGACTATTACTGAGTAGTTTGGTCATTCCTACACGAGGCTTTAAATGGTGGTTGGTATCCCCAAAGCCTTAAGATCATGGATAACAACACTTTACTTGGGCCTGGTAATCAAGGTGATTGTTGCAGAAGGCGTAACCAATGACATTTCAGTAAGGCAGGGTCTCCAAAAAGGTGATCCTATGTCACCAATTCTTTTCAATTTTGCAGCTAACATTCTATTGGTGGTGCAGATGCTAAACTCTGGGGCCTAGCCCACCCCAACCAAATGCCTCTGAAAATGCTGGCTTTCACTGATGACTCAGTAGTATGCATTAGCTCGTTGACTGACCTACAGGGCGCTGAGGAGCTACTGGATCTATACTAGTTAGCGTCAAACACAAAGATTATACTTTGCAAAAACCTCCATAAAGAGGATCGGCATCCTAAACTTCAGTCCAATAACTGACACAACACCAACCATGAACTCCCAGATGATCTGATATTTTGGAATACACTTTAATGATAAGGGACCAGAGGTACTATAAAACTGAGCAAGAGATATTATCAAGTTTATCAGTCCAAATGGCATGCTGGAAAGATATTAGACTATGCCTCAGAGGAAGTGTTGGCAATCAACATATTCTTCTTGTCAAAGTTGTGGTAAGTTGCCTATGTGCTGCCATTGAGCCTGAACCTAGAGAAAAAAACCAAGACAATGCTCCGTACTTTCCTATGGTTCAAGGCAAAAGTGGCACCTATAGAATCAGAAACATTGTACAAAATGAAGAACGATGGAGGCATGGGCTTTTGGATTTTTTTATCCACTCCTGGAATATCTGGTCTAAGTCATTCCTTAGATTGACACAAACACACATGCGCTGCCTGACTCTGGCTTGGAACATGAACTAGGCCAGAGTTCAGGGCCTTCAGGAGCCAGTCTTACCTCACTCACTATGCAAATGAATGGCAAACCACCTGTGAATGCCCTCCCAAAAAGGCACCCCATATTACTGGTGACTGTGCAATCAGGCAGTGCACCAGGGTGGCTGATTATTTGAACTAGCGGTATGGTATGCCAACCAAATCCACAGGGATGTCAAGACCCATAATTCTGCAATGATTTCTGCACCAAATTGGGAAGAACAAAATCAAACCGTTCACAAATATGCCACCAAGTCAAACAAAACCAAAATACAAATTGACCCTGATTAAGTACAGGAATCCTCTCCCAAAACCCATGTGTAACCCATCCACTTGACCATGAATCCTAAATGACTAGAAAACTGAAGGCCTTGACAAAAACTACCAAATGAAAGATTTGATCTCAGGTCTCAACTCCTGACTGGTAATGTCCAAACAACAGTTAGTACTTGGTGGATAATACACCATACGATAAATCTGGTAAGCATAGTGGACTGGACTACCCACACAAGGAGTGCCATGTATGTGCTGAACTGGAAGCAAATATCACTCACTGATATTATGAATGTGCAATGTGAAAAAATATTTGTCCACGATGTGTTACATCCTATCAGGCAAACAAAAGTTAACGGAAATGCATCTGTCACAGGACACTTTTTTCAAAAGCCCTGCAATCATCCACGATCCAATTATGAGCCTTCATATACCATTATAGTGTATGGGTGATATACTTGTCTCTCATTGCCAAGAGTTTGGCCAATGAGAGCCCCCATCACAAAGGCTTGGTGTTGAAGACCATTTGGATTATCTCTGATCATCTCTGACGGATCATGAAATTCTTGCACCTAATCCTCAGGTGCTACAAAGCTGCACGTTTGGCTTTCCCTACCAGATTGCTCATCATACACAACAAAACAATGATTTGTTAAATATCAAATGGGCTGTAAGCCTGCCAAAGATAGAACCTTGGCTAGTAATGGCTATCGCCAATCAGCAATGGTTGGAGGTTCTAGGCTTCTAGCGGCCCAAAAGCCTAGTCCTTAATCCTCAGCCAAATCGCCTGGGATCTGCCCTCCCCTCTTACTTTCCCTTTTAAAATTTTTTAAATAAAGTATGGATGTTTTATTATAAATATGTGCCTCTTTGGCTCAGATGTCAGAGCGTCCCCCTAGTAAGGGGAAGGTCAGTGGTTCGATTTCACTAAGGGGCATAAAAATTCTTCTTTCTACATTGTATAACTTTTTAATTTTCAGCATAAGTTGGAATTTTAGCTCTACCAGAGAGAACATAAAATATGTTAATGATAATGGCGTTAGTACCCACAAAAGAACCAGTTTTCTCTGTCAAATTATGATGACACTATCCAAGATCTTATAATCCCCATACATTCACCTTAATGTCTACCAATTCTCCTCCTCAGACGTGACCATTGAAAAAGCATATACAATATTCCAGATAACTACCACTGAAACAAGAACCAGTATACATTATCAAATTCTTGCTCTGAGCCCCCAGACCTCAGCTCAAACTGTAGCACATTAGTACACTTCAAGTTTTCTAAACATCAGGCACAATAGCACATGCTGCAACAGCTATGGCTGCATACATGAAAGGCATTTAAAACACAACTGCACCAACCACCCATCATTAGCTACATGTTATTATATATACCAATGAAGCACATCTCCACACGTACTGAGAAGTTTAAGCCTCAGCCCTTAGACTACCAACCCTACCAATTCAAAAATAAACAATGCTATATGAATACAAAAGCACCAGAGTTGACTTAACTTATTGAAATGAGAAACTATTATCAAATCTAAAAATTTGTATTTATAATTCTCAAAAAACTAAATGAACCACGAAACTAGAACTACCAGAATGGTAAAACCCCTCCTAAATGGGACTAAGCCAGTGCCCAATCGATTAATGCTTTTAAACAACAATACCCCACTATCATTCAGACTAAGTATGAGAGCATAAAATGGGCCAATACAAAGCTTGTACTTACTTTTCAATTGGCCAATTATATCCCATTATAAATACTAATCAACCCTAGTGCTTTAAGTCTGGAGGCCCAACCTCTTGGGTTGGATCATGAAAAGGTCCTTTATAGGAATAAGGAGGGATCTAATGCCCCTGTGGAGCCCTTAACTTAACTGGGGGACTTGGGGCATGTGGTTGAGGAAAGTTGACTCACTGCATTGGCCCCAAAAGATCCCACCACAGTATCACCTTTAGCTGCTTCTTCTCTGGTTGAAAGAATATAAAGAGGTTTTTAGGGAGGTAATACAGGACAGAAGACATCAACAGCACCTCTACCCTCCACTGGCCTCCACTCCACCATCCCTCACTTCCTTAGAAAAGAAGATTTGCCTCAAAACTCAGGAAATGGTTCCTGAGTCAGGAAACCTGGTCTGGAACACGGAATCTGAAATCCCTGGTCCAGGAAAGCCAATTTAAGTTGAAAATCTGTTTTTAAAAAATTTTAAAAAATCTTACAAAAATTTGTTGTAATTGACCCTGGCAGAGTCCAATTTGGCCGCCCCTTCAATCTGAGTAAATTGCTCATGTTTGGATCAGTGAGGGTCCCTACCTGGTCGATCAGACAATTGCATTGCCAGAGCTTTCTGACCTTTGTGTAAGCTGAATGATGACACCCCAATCCCAGGCTGAGTATCAATGAGTACGTCAGCTGCCACTTCTCAAGAAAACACACCCCTGTCACCCTTTTCCCCATTTTTCATATATAAGGCAATTGCCTCTGGAAGGAGAGTTAAATATATTTTCACTCTTAAGTTTAAATTAAAGAAGATCCCACCCAAACCTACTACATGAGCTCCATCTCTTTTTCTAATATACTTTCATTTAACCCAGCAGAATATGCAGTGATCTGCATTTTAGGGCTGATGGTTATTGATTGGGCCCTCCAAGCCATCAATTTGTTGACTCACCAAATGGTGATCACGATCAAATAGTTTGCCACAGGCTCATAACACCAATCTGCCGCTTCTGAAGAGTTTTTGGATCTGCCAAACTCTTCGCAATGACCTGTTCCCATTCAGCACCCAGCAGACAAGCTAAAGGTCCGCCTCCCACTTCACAGAATAGTCAGAGAATTCAAAATAATTCTCCTTGCCGATCACTAGTGGTTTGGAACAATTTGGGCAGAATAAAGATGTCTCTGCTAATCACAATTCTCTATTTAAAGGTGAGGAACAACCATCCTCACAACTGTGAGGTGGTGACCAGGCACCGGACCATCCAGGCCATCTTGCAGAGGGCAAATCTGGTCCAAATCAGTTTATTAAATTGATCCGCCATTCAGGCGACATTCACAACCTCTTAACTCATTGTGTAACACCTCAAGGGGCACCAGGAAAGGCCCAAAGCCTCCCAATAGTAAATCAATTTGATTTGATTCACAAACCCAATCAGCATTTCAAAAATCTTGAAAATTTTATTAATTTTCAGAATTTTTTATGATGAATAAGCACAAGAAGGTTTGGAAAAAGAGCCCAAAGGTCACCAACTGCAAACTCAGGAGAATTTGTCATCCTTTTTGCCTCTCCCACCCTTGGGAGATGCCCCAGCAAGACCCGCGGTTGCCCCAATTGCAGCCATTCAGTTTGCTATGGGGCCTTTGGTATGTTTTTTAACTTTTATTTCCCTCACAAAATGATAAAATGTCTCTCCTACAACTGATCAACACTGCTATTACATTGAAATTCTGGGCTTTCCACTGTGTTGTTACACACCCAGATTGAAAGCCCAGTCTTATTATAATTAGCAGATTTTATGACAAGTGCAGACCAATAATTCTTTGCAATATATTAATATATAATACAACATTTAAGACTACCAAAGGAAACTTATTAAGCCAAACCAACCCTTTAAACACACCTTGCCTATGATTGCTACTCTAACTAAGCACAAACATGCTAAATGCATTAACAGAATGTGGCAGAAACCCTTATACACACCCTCCCAAGGTAACTCAAAGGAATCAACGTTATTGTTATTGTCAAAATTGAAGTGTGTAGAAAATTAGCACAAAATGCACTCTCAGATTAACTTACTGCCACAAAATTTATCTATATATAGACAAAACCCCAAGGAATACAATTTTTAAAACAAGAAACAGTCAAAGCCAAAATTACAGCATTTAGGTGGAGGCAGGCGGGTATGCATCAGCAGTAATGAAAAAACGTATTCTATACAACGTGACGAAGCGCATCGCCTCCCTCAGAGCCCACCCTACCTCCCTTACTGGCAGGGTTGTTTTACCCAACTCTATGCTCCTCTCCGAAGTCTGGTTTGGAGCCCACGCCATCCCCTTCTCCCCAAGCTTTTTCAAATCTTTGTATGCCCTTCTGCAAGGATGGCTTTGGTCAGGCCGCCCACCACCAGTACGGCTAGAGGTCATGTTTGGCCCTCATCATCATGGTGGCATGGGACTTCTTGACTTCAAAGCCCATGCTGCCAAGATCTGGGCACCTGGATTGCGGCCATCACCGCCCCTACGCTCCCCTCCCAACACTGGTCCCGCGCAGCCTGTTTCAACTTCTCCCGCGCCTTGGGCCTTAACAATCCATTGAACCCTCACTCCTTGATGAAAAACCTGGCTTCACACCCGTCAGCCACAGATCCCCACGGGACTAAAACCCACTACAAACGAATCCTCCTCTCCATGCGGAGTGCTGAGTGGAGAATTCATATTAGCGGACACACAACCCAGAGAGGCCGCCCCTCTCCTCAGTTCACACAAGAGGTACAGGGGCTACCCATCCAAGATGGCGTGATCCCCACATGACCCCATGTCCTATCCAGGGTGGAATACCTGGATATGATGGACATCCCTTACTCCATTGAGACTCAGAAGACTATCTGAAATATGCACACCATCCTCTGTTGCATCCTCAAATTCATTCCCATGTGTGGTGCTGCCTGAGGTGGGTGTACCGTACAGCTGAGCGCTCTAACGCTTTACACTCATCCTGCGTCATGTGTCGGCAGTATGGAACGCTGTTCCACTGCATGAAGAAGTGTCCTACCTCTAGAGTGATATGGCGCGAAGTTCAACGTCTGCATGGCCAGGATCAAACACATCCCTTCAGTCTGTCAAGAGATATGTTTGCTTTATCAATGGCTTCTCCTCTTCCACCCTCCCTCTGTGCTCTAGTGGTTGCAATCGCCATGTGGACTAATCACAAGATTGTCTTGGATGCCATCGCAGGCTCCACCCCCACCCTCCCAGAAGCTGTCCACAGATTCCAGTCTCATTTGGTGGACCACTTTCAGGCGTGGATATTTGGATACCTCCCACCATGTTGCCGACAGCTGGTCTCCTCCTGGTTCCCAGTTTGGTTCATCAAATCAGACCCTTTCCTCCACCCGTGTTCAATTGTGGCTATGGCTACTTCACACGTTCCCTCCCCCTTCCCATAGTGGCGTTCCCGCTGGCAACAAGAGATAGCATTGCTTCTCTGGGGTGCCTTCCCTGTTACTAAGTTTTGTTTCTCTCATGTCAAATTTGGAAGTGTCTGTCCCAAGGTCAGCCTTCCTCAAAATAAATTTAAATTTAATATTTAAAAAATTACAGCATTTACCTTCTAAAAAGATATGGAAGTAATGAAGAACCAATACTCTGCGAGGGTTTCTTTAAAGCATCTCTGTAAACCAAGATAGTTACAACAAGGCAAACCTCCTCTAAGCCCCTCTGAGCAACTTGCACATGCTTGCACAAAAAATATCTCTTGAGTTACCCTAATTAATATTACAACTACTGTGGACCTTGAGTCCTGCAGATAGTTCTCTACCACAGGTTATATAGTTTAATTCTGTGTTATTAATTAAATTCTGCATACCCTTAAAGTACACACATTTATAGAGGGTTTGCACAGCAAGAACCTTCTTCACTCTCTTCCATGCTATTACCTAGTACAATGAGGATAATCCCATTGTGACAGTCATTAGAACATGTCCTAATTTTTCCCATTAAATTTGACCAAGCGCCCCCCACTATTGTTGTAAGATGTTATAGGCTACCTGTACAGTGGTGACATCCTAAAAGCATCTCACCTCATACTCATGCTAGTTTTAAAACAGGATAAAACAATGGCATGTTGCTGTAGCAATAAAACCACAACCAATGCAGTGAAATTCTTCTCAGGACCTTCTATAGTCCTATTATAAGAAATTAGAAACAAG